ATATCTGTCTCTTCATGTGACTTTAACAGATCTTCTTAATGTTCCTCCTTAAAAGAAAGCTTCTGTTAAGTAATACGGATACACTACTCAGGCAAATACTACATTAGATTTGAACTAACTTGCAATATTAAAAAACAAAATCTGGAATCTGTTTTGTGAAGTAATATGGATACACTACTCAGGCAAATACTACATTAGATTTGAACTAACTTGCAATATTAAAAAACAAAATCTGGAATCTGTTTTTAAAACAATCTGAGACTCTTATATGAAATTGTTGTGTAGATAAGTAGACATGTGTTAAGAATATTTACATAAAATTATGAGTATTCTGTTTGTAATTGGTTTAGATGCCAGACTGCAACTTTGACACCATTACTTACAACTTATCAAAGAGACTTATGCTTTACGAGTGATATTTTATATTGAAGATTTACTTGAAATGGTACGTAATGTGTTTTCTGTAATTAATTCCTTTGAGGTCAGGTTTCATGGACACAGAATTCCTTTAACATTAATCCCTCCTTTAGCAATATCTTTATTGTTGGAATTAACAGTTGATAAAAAAGTTAATCTTTATCAAGTAAGATTCTTAGTTCCTGGTATTGTTTATTTCACCAATGCAAGCTTTTCTTAAAAGTACAAAATATCCTAAAAGTAGATGCTATGGAGTCAATGTAAGATAAAAGCTGGAAGTTAAATCAATCATGCGTTAATAAGAAATGGCAAGTTTAATTATGTAGATGCTTACGCTCTTAACAGAGGGACTGAGTAATGGAGAATCTGTCTCATTTTAAACTTAATACTATTATTCAAGTTATCTGTACATAATACCTGAAACTTGTAAGTTTTGCATTTTTTTCCTGTTTATTCATGAGATGTTACATAGATTACATGGTGAATAGCACAATTTGTTGGATGATAGTGTTTAAATAAATTGTTGAATGAATGGCATTTTGATTGTAGCCGAACTTCTAGTTTTGATTTAAGAATTGAAATAGTACATTTAAAACTTGGGATATAAGTAACTAAACATATATTGATTCACCATCCCCAAAATAAACTGTATTAAGCAAGAAAAAATGTTTACTAATTAGGCATGTTTTCCTATTTGCATTTGCTAATTAGGTTTACTTGTGTGGGCAAAAGAAAGACAAAACTCAGTTTTCCTTCTTTAACATCTGTGCTGGCTTCGTAGATGTATTGGATAATTTATACGTTTTTAATGTCTGTTTATATATGAAGCATGGAAAGTAATTGTGAGCCTACTCAGCAGTGCTTAATGAAAGCCAAGTGCTCACCAATTCCACGTAACTGATTAATTCATATGGATTATAATGGTAAGGTATGCTGAAATCAGCGGGAGTTTTGTCTACCAGGTCTGGTAACACTTGGCCCTCCAAAAGGTTGAAGGGATGTTGAGTTTGTCTTGGGCTTCGAGACCCCTTATTGAGACCTAAGAAAATACTTGTCCTGTCTTTAGTAAAATTCCTTCTACATGTTCCTTTATGCATTATTGCCTCATTGTCAACACCACCACCCAGGTATTCACAAAGTTGATGCTTTTTGCTCAGAGGAGATGGTGACTTTGGATTCATGGATGGATTTTGCAGTTTATGTTCGGGGTCTTAATCAGTGATTTTCCCCGCCAGTCATTTGATATTGAAATTAAAGTGTCTAAAGCAATGTTTCAAAAACATTTCCCCTATCTGTTTCCTTTTTATTTTTGTCTTTTGGTGGGTGGATGCTTTAACCCCCCCTGAAAATACTATGCAGCACTATCCCAAACTGGAATCTCCGGCTCTTGAACCAGATCTAATTCTCTGAGTCAAGGGTTTTATTCATGTCTTAATAGATGAAGGAAAGAGAAATATTAACATTGGGAAGTGAAAGAACAATTGCAGACTGAAACAAAGTAGAATATTTCGAGAAAGAAACAAAAATATCTCAACCCACAGAGAAAACAACATTAACAAATTAGGCTATGCTTTAGTATCATGTTACCAGGTTTTCACATTCCAATAAAACCAGGTTTAGATGCCAGCAATATTTCAGATAGAACCATTCATAACTCGGGACCACACACACCTGGCACCATAGTATCCTGCACACATATGGCTGCCACATGAAAGGAAAGCATTGTAAAAACTTGGGGTTTGTACATTTTTCCTTTTCTGAATAATTTATGTGAAATTGAATGGTTACAAAGTTATGTTAAAATCTAGAATCCTGACTGTTTCAACATAGATTCTGCAACTAAAGTTGCGTGCTTTATTATTTCGCAGCCATGCAAAGTTACATTTATTTGACTGCGACTATGATTTCCCTTTAGGAATTATTATAGATGGACTGAAAACTCTTAATTACCATGAACATATTGAACAACACACACTGTATCTGTGGCTATCCACTTTAGGGTCAAAGCAGTGCAAAGGTTAGATTGGAAAAAATACAACTCCCTCAAAGCTCTGATGTCTTTGGATGGTCTCTTAATAGACAATTGTTTCTTCATTTTACAGAAAGGAAAATTTTAAAAATCTGTTTAAGAACAATACCACTTGCACTAAATTCTGCCCAATTTGTTTAATTAACTCCATTCTGAATCTCTTAATTTCCACAAAGACTTGTGAATCTAAGCTCTATTTTGGTAGTCCTCTCTGGCTTTTGTGACTTGACAAGCGTGTCCAATCAATAGTAATAAATAAATAGATAGATAAGGAAATAAAACATCCTTTCTCCTATAATAAGGTGGAAGGAAACAGGTGATGGTTTCTTGTTCTGAGATGGGAGCAGGTGAAAAGTCAGAAAGCAAAAGTATCTGAAAACAAAAATTCTCACCAGCCTGCAGACATTTCAATATATTTTAGAAACTATTTCCTTGTTTACATATTCCTAAGTACATATTTTCTTACCTCTTTTTTTTTTTTAAGCAAAAGAAAGCTTTATTTTCCGGTTAGAGATCTACGTCAATTTAAGAATGTTATTTAAAGTGAACTGAAAGCTGTCTCGTTTGAATCGCATCATGACATTCTTCAGCATCACTGACTTTGTCTACACGAGAAAAAAAAAAAAAAAAAAAAAAAAAACCCAAAAAACTTCCCTTTAAAAAAA